TTGTATATAATGAATTGGTATCATCCCTCTTCTATCTGTTGATTGATTTTGTTTGTATCCGGACGTCTTCCACTTGGATCGTCAACCTGAGAAGGAATGTAGGCGTACTGCTGTAAGTCCTACAGTTCTTCAAGGGTAGCTCGTCAAGGCAGAATCCGCAATATTTGATTTATTGACTGTACATATGTTTGTGTTGAGTAATTCAGTGGGTTCCGATTCATCTGATTGTCGGTTAATTTTAAAATTGTCGCATTGTGTGAATCATCTTGTAATGTTTTTGTAAGTACTTCTGAATTCGCTTCTAAACTTGTGAACGAATCGAGTAGTGTTAGAGTCAGCGTACGCGATTGGATACGCCGGGGAGAGGATTGGGCTAGAGTGGAATGAAGCAATCGATACTTTGTGAACGAGATCAGTGGTGGTATTGTCGTCAGAGAGCGTAGACCCCATGCGCCGGGGAGAGCGTGTCGGTGTGATGTGGTATGTTTGCTGTGTGTTGGGCTTTTTTGTCTTGCTTTTCCAATTTTAGCCTAGTCCCGAGTGGCCCAGGTTCCCACATTGGCAGTTCAGTTCAAGGTCACCGCCGCTGTGGAAAACAGGGAAGGACCCTTTTTTGCCGGGGAGTGTGAATGGAAGTGAACATTGAACGTTTGTTTTATTGGAACTGGCAACCATTGGCGGGTAATTGAAGGCGCGAATGGAACGATCGCTTGCAAGTTGAAGGAAGACTGGATTTAAATACGAATAAAAGTACTTTATAACTTCATTTGTACTTAACATTTGTTTGCAGACTTTGTAGTTTTCTTCACTTTAATTGCCAAACAATATAATTTCGTTCAAGGAATATTGGTATTTTGGATTTAAAGTTGGAAAACGTACATAGTGTTTATCGGTTCAATCGCTTAAGTCTTCAGTACAATAGGAACTTAGGTCTAAGTTCCTTGACAGTTGTATATCACTGTGAGAATTTATAAAATAAATTTACCCTGCGATGACACTTACTTCAAGTATCTGAATGTAAGAACATTCGTAAATTCCGTACCAGAATTCAGTAAACCAAATAATTTGAGAAGAAAGAAAAGCCTATTTGAACGACTGCTTCCTTTCCTTTATGAAAATATTTGGATAAGAAAGACTTACAAGCTTCAAACTAATTAACATGGGTATCTATCGTGTCGTTGTTTCTACTCTCTGCATTATGTCACAGAGCCGATCACTTAATATGAAAATATGATTAGTTTATCTTCAAATGAAAGTACTTGCTTTTATACGACATGTACTGAGACGACTTTTAGTGGAATTTCTTCGGTTTTCACTCTTGTTCTTCATTGCATTAAAGGAGAATTTGTAGTCATGGAAACCAAATCCACGAATTCACACAGTCGATTAACACGTAATGTGCTGGAAACACACCACTGAAAAGAAGTTACCAGGACTATGACACTTTGATAAATTCAGCTCTGATAAATGTTGAATTTAATCTAATAATGATTTCACAACATTTGTAAGCATGTAATTGAGTTACATTTGCACAGAATAATGAGTGTTGTAATGATTTCAAACAAATCTACACAACAATGAAAAAACTGTCGTTCTGCTCAGCACGCTTGGTGTAACTGATAGACTGAGACCAAATACTCAGAGCATTCTCTCCAGAAAGTTTACTAAGTGTAAATGTGTGAAAATTACATCTGCTGGCGTCTAGCAGTCACATCCAGTCTATTACTAAAAATGCAGTTTCTAAGAAAAGAATAAATGCGGACAGGAGTGAGGAAAAATACTCGCCAGCTCTGATATCTGTTGTAACCAATTGCACAAAAATCACGAATCCGTACAGAGAAGAGTTCATGGGTCACTGAATTGGGTCCCGGTGCCTAGATGGTCTAGGAAATTCACACGTAAATGGAGGGTCGTAGACAAAAAACCTAGTGGGTGCGTTCTGACGATGAGTGCCCAAACAAAGTGGACACAGCTATCAAGTGCTCCCTGGTTCTCAAATGCTCTCTAACAAATATGAATCTGCTATCATCCTTGGACCAAATTCGAATGCCGAATTCACTGTGATATTCAATAGTTGCTTATCCATAGGGTATGAACTAATAGTTGATGATATCTCTCTATACCTTATTGGTCTAAATGTATGTCAGTTTATTAGAAGAAATCTCAGATATGATGAAGAAAATTTGTAGCTTAGGTGTTTGATTTTGATTTAATTGTGTTCTGTGAGCTGGTTAGTTAATTTGCGAAGCTTTCATTGCCTTACTGGGCAACATCATCAGCACATACTTCAATTCGAAGTGATGTTTAGATTTATCCACGAGTTTATCAATCATCTCTCCTGGTTACCTAGCACGTGGTGAGTTGTTCTTGTGTGTTTTTACATTCTCTAGGCTACTTGTATCGGAACTGACTTTTTTTCACTTGAACATCGACCCATTGTGTGTGAAATTTCGTTCTTATCGGTTGATAACTATTGTCTATCTCGATGAGTCTATTGATTGACGATTCACTAAAATATTACGCCTCTAAAAGTTCTCTAGCATTCTTGGTGTTTCTTCTATCTCATATGTGAACTCTGTCCTAGTCGAACTGATGTCCGTATTTTCTGTATGTAGTGATATCAAGGAATATGTGTCTTGTTTTTGACGGGTAGCTCATGTTCATGTGTACGAAGAAGAAGGGGATGTCTAGTTTGGCCAATGTAGTGTTTTTCCCAGTTGTTACAATTTATGATGTTGGTTTTATCTTTTTTCGTTGCTGGGTCTTCTGGTTGACATAAAACTAAGTGAAGTGATTTTGCTAGTTTATGTGCGATGTCAATTTCTTGAGGTTTGAAGAATCTTGACGTGACTTCTGAGATATCTTTTACATATGTAAGGGCAATATTCTTTGTGCTTTCCTTGGGGCCTTTGATTCAATATGTTGACTTGAAGGTGTAGGTATGTGCGTCATTAGCACAGTGGTTAGGACTCTCGCCGACCATGCACATGGTCCGGGGTTCGACCCCTGCCGACGCACACCCGATATCTATGGTCGGCCTGCAAAATTTGGGATACCGATATCCATGCTGAAAATTCCATACTTGTACTGAAAATACGGTGTGGAATCAAGCTGTAATCAAAAATAATAAAAAAATTTAAAAAATGCTGATGAAATGAAACCTTGAGGAAAACACACTTTAATCAGCTTGAGGTCAACCGAAAGTATCAAAATCTCAGGATGTGATATCGATGACAAATATTTCGCAGGTGAAACACCGACATCAGGTGCGCCTTGGGAGTCGGTCGAACACCACACCATGTGCAGAGCCAGCGAGATTCATAACCGATGTGCACTGACGCACAGCTATAGTATGAGTAGAAGTCATAGTGGAATTAGTCTATTATGTTGTTGAAGCAGTAGCAGTGTGCCATTAGCGTTCATAGTATTGTTATTATAATTAGTAGTAGTAGTAGTATTAGTAATAATAATAATAGCATTAGTGGTATCTGCACTAGTGGTCTAAGTGGAAGTGGTGGTGTAGTCAGTAGCAATAATCGACAAATCCATGCACTAATCGAGTGTGGGAATGCGTACATGGATGGATGAAGGCGAGGAGGTGATTTGTCTGATTGACTATCTGATATGTGGCGAAGAGATCCGGATGACTTACCTCCCATTTCGAACTCAAATGATACAACCAGTCAGGATGGCACACAATATTAGACAAGAGTATTCCAACATACAGTGAAGATCTGCATTGTTGTGTTTTACTGTCAACTTGAAACGTACTCCTACTTGCCTATTTATACTCAAAGTTCAACTATAAAATGCGAGCGAACACATGGCCACACTCAAACACAGGTGAATGACCAACCTACCAACCAACCGACCGAATCAATGAACACGCGGAATGTGAGTTTCATTCACTTTTTCGCTCTTCTCTCTTATTCGACTCATGATGGCTTTATTGATCGACTGATCGATTGATTGATTGATCGAACAAGTGAGTGACTGATTGACTGACCGATTGCTTGATTGGATTCTCGGTTGGTCGATTGGCCAGTTGTTGGTTGTTTTGTGCGTGGATGGACTCTTCCCGTTTACATGTTCAGTCTGTGATGGATGAATAACTTTTGTACTCGGTACTCAGTCTGTCTGTCTGTCAGTTTCAATACTTCCGAAGCACGAGATAATGTGATGCCCAGCAGTGAATTCTGGAGGATAATTCACACTGAGAAAAATTCTTCATCACAATGTTACAGATCATAGCAAAATCTGATATGCAATCATTGAAGTGCGAAGTGATGTATATGTTGAAGTACTACACTGAAATTACTTCCTCAATTTCATACATGTCTTTCAGAGAAATATTATTTCGGTCATCAGTTTAATATATTGCCTCAAGTACAGGCAAAGCTGGAAAATTGAACGAATGTTAATATCAATAATTGTAAGTTCTCCAGTAGATCAACTTAATTAGTTGGCTTTGTTTATTAATGATCATTTGAAGTTTACCGGGCAACCCAGTATAAAATAAAAAAGGTATTCATTTAGACAATAAATGATGTTGAAATGGACCATTTTCATGCGAATTCATCCGTGGTGCGTTTATGGGTGGCTTGTAATAACAGAATACGATTCTGACCTTGATAAATGTACAGTTGAAGAATTATCGACTTCGTAATCAATTTCGGCACTTAACTGTTGTCTAAACAAATGCAGTTCACATCATTTAAAAGAAGATACTTTGTCGTGACTACGCAACACACGGTCAAATGGTTGGCCACCAGCTTCAGTGGTTCACATCCATAACATCGATCAGGCTAGTACTGCGTAGGAATCTTTCTTGCCGCAGTGTTTCTTTTGAAATTTGTCGTATACTGTGTTGAGAAGCTCATCTACAACCAAAACATGCATCTGTGCATTCATGTTGATTAATTTCAATAACAAGTGGAACAATATTTATTAATTGTGAAGGCTGTGTTTTCTTCCATGGTCTTTTCAGTAGTATTCAGCTGATGCGATGGTCACTGCACAGCAAGTTACCGGTTTTGGCATCACTTGCTGTTCATTTTAGAAGAAGAATGCTAGTGAATAACAAACAGTTAACTGTATGTTTTTGTACCTTTTTAATTTATTTTTTCAAAGCTTTCACTGTGGTCAGCAGATGCTTGTCTGACAGTTGACGAAGACATCAGATTAAATCGAAGTCATTATTTGGAAAGACCTATTGGCGACTATCTACAATTTCTCCAATTCCTGAGATTGTTTTTATGTTTATCCCATTGGATGAAGTAAGTGAAAGGAAATGTCAAATGAGTTGTGACATACCGGTATTTATTATTGTAATCACCTGAACAATTAGAACAAGTTCATAATACACAGATGAATTTCAATCATCCACCATTCTCTGCTTTCTTGAAACTTAAAGCTCCATAAGCAAACCAGTTAAGACGTTTATATTATTAGGAGTCTTGAAGGTTTGTAGACGCAAATCATCCACTAGGATCTGGCATTTAGAAGACCTATTCATAGATGACTTTTGTACACTGAAACAAAATTCTTGAATCATTGAAATCTTGGGGTCTGCAAAATCATCCAATTAATGTCGTTTTGGCTTATTCGGCCAGCCCCCTCCACTTAATAATCCTTTGGAAATTTATAGGTTGCTATGAACAGCGTAGAGAAGGTAAAGGTGTAAGACTGTGTCTTTATTTATCTACAAAGGAATCAGTGAGAATCCATCCGTGTAAATTATACTGCCCACTATGTGTCTTGAAAAGGAGAATAGAACTTTAAGATTCAAAATCGTCCTTATTGTTTATGAAAAGTGTGATAAGAGTTACTTACATTTTGTAGAATGCGATGGTGGCAGCAAGTGGTATCATTTGAAATGATCGGCAACCAATTATTTGCACATACACGACCTTTTATGCTGCTCAATGGTAGTTGAGTGACTTAATTCGGTCGAATGTCCAAACTCTGAGCATCATATGTTATGTACAAATATGGTTTAAACACGATTAGACATTAACTGCAGCCAACATTTACGGTGAGATGCCAAGTATCCAGCGATGCTTCAATTATTCTTACTAATTAGCTCCGATTTATGGAAATTACACTGAAGAGTTCTTCATTTAGTGTGAAGCGGTGTAACTTGTGTTCTGAGCACAGAACTATTCCAGTTCCAATTCTCTTGTCGGCTTTTAGTTTTATTTATCAATTTCTTCGACTTGAAATATATATGAGAACTTCAAGAATGTTACTCTTGTCTCCCCGTTAAAGTTTACCAGAGTCGATATTTATTTTGTCGGACCCTCGGAAAATGTTGGCTGGCGCGCTTCTAAACACTGCTTTGTGTTTGGTAACTTTTGAGAAATTGTTTCTCTCTGAGTTACTGAAAGGAATATTAGACCAGCAGCAGTCTTACTAAACTTGAAACAAATTTTATACTGAAAAACACAAATTAAGCGATGATTTGTACTCCTTTTCAATTAGTTCTTCATTATCGGCTCTACACGGATGTATAGTTTTTTACAACAAAATCATACCAAGATTGTTTTCAGTCGATAAGAATTAGCCAATTTAGGTATACAAGGGAATAGGGGTGAAAATTATCACAATAGTGAACTAGTGGAAGTTGGTGACACGATGCCCAAATTTTGATGGCGGAGGGGAAGTAATAGTGAAATCAAAGATCCCTTCAATAGAGAGGCGTAACATCAAGGTATTTCTTATTCAGTAATTTATATACTGGTGACTAATGAGAATAGAATGACCAAGTAGAATCATGTAATAACACTAGGACACTAAAAAGTCGATTGCTTTAGTTAGAATTGTGCTCAGAATAAAAAAAAGTGAAAAGATGTTAACAAGGAGAGGAGAAAATTGTGTGTATCACTTGCTTTATATAATGCAATTGGCCAAGGCATAGAAAGAGGCTGCATAATTATTTTTGATCACACAGATTCGGGTCGTTCAAAAACGTTGCGATTGCATCTGATGTACAAAAAGCTCTTAGTCGAAGAATGTGTAAAGATTTAGTGAAACACGATAAATAAGAATGAAAAAAATTTCTTGTTTTCTGGGGTGTATATGTGAAGGAAGTTATAGGGTGCATTTGGAATGGTAAGGAGCAGTGTTGGAGGCGGTTGACAACTAATCAGTCAACTAGTGTATGTATGAAATACACACATGACACAATAATTCGTTCTCTGGTGAATGAGTGACTTGGAATAATTTCATTATTGACATTTTATGCACACCCTGCGTTGTGTGAAATAAAAATACGGGATAAAATTTGTATTTCATTACACACATTCATTTTTCGTGTTTATTACGTTAAGTAACTACCTCTTCAACGTGTTCAAACTTTCTCATATCAAATAACTACCGCCTTGTATGATAAAGTAATGCATGTGCAACTTCAAAAGGTACTTACTCTTTCAGAAGTATCCTGTAGAGCGACATGGTGCTCCATTATCAAGAATGTCAACAGCTTTCTATACATGTAACTATTAAATGTAATTGTTATTATGTTCCATTAGGCCCACGGGATACCTATGAAGTAAAATGACGTGACCTTATTGTGCCCCAATGGTTGTATTTCGTTTTATTCAAATTTATAGACTAGATTAGGTGTAAGACATTTTTCAGCCTCATTAATCTCATGCACATGTCACAGGCTAATGAATTAAATTCATGCTACACGTCTATTTGAAAATATGACAAATTAATTAGACATCAGTATGCATCCAATTCACACCATTTAGGTGAGACTACCGTTGGTTACCCAGACCTACACCAACTTGATTTCCGAATGCATGACTGGTCACTACTGATTGATTTCACAGATGTGAGAGACTAGAGGTGAAACGGGTGGTGTGAGTGCTTTCACTTTTCCCACTCATTCCTTCCAAAATCAGCACATTCATATACAAATAACTAACTTTAATTAAAAGTTATAATGAATTCATTTTTGCGAACATTTTGCTCTTCCATCCAGAAACAGGAATAGTAAGTAAACATCGAAGTAATGGTATACAGGACTAAGGAATTTACTTATTTGCGTGTTTATAAATTTTCTCTCTTTCGCCTTATACAGATGACACTCAAGAAAAACAAAGTTATCGGTAGTTAATGATAGTTATAGGAGAAGAGAAAGGTGTGTACCGCCCAACATACCTCCGATGAATTTTAGGCTAATAAAATGCAGGAATTAGAGTTAGAAGAAGGAAACAAAATATTTGAAGTCGCGCTACATTGATATCTCAAACAAACCATTCACGAATACAGCACTGAGGTGAAAAATTAGTATAACTACTCATAACATTTACTAGTGAGACATTTTGCAATGCACAGTGCACCGATTGTAGCCGATGATTTGTGTTTAGCAAATACTCAGTAGGCCACAATTTTATGAATAATGACGACTAATTGACAGTTCTGTTGTTGTTTCATCTCATAAAACTTAGATTTGGCCATAATTTGTTTGGAGAAGGAAGAAAATGATGCTCAACAAAGAGGTCTCTACGTCAATTTTATCCTCGAAAGCTTTCAGACTGCAGTTTTCTACACGGATGACAATTTGCTTCTATTCCAATGCAGTAACAAGAGGAAACTGAAAGCGATAACACTCTTCAAATTGACATGAGGGCGCAAACGTCAATTACAAGGAGCAAAGAAACAAAATATCATTGTTTAGCTTTTTGTTTTCTTCTCTATATTAAGTCAGACCTTTGTGTACAAAAGAGGTGTGTACAATCCCTACTTCTGCCTTGGCCGTAGAGGGATTGACATTTATTTATTTTGTTTATTTTGTTATTCTATGTACTTTTCCCTTATGACTACGATTATTATTATTATTAACATTACTGTTATTATTACTGTTTTCACTCTGAATCTTTTCCACTTGACCCACTTGACATTTTAAACCCAAAATTATTAATTTCCATACTTTTACGAGTTGATCACGGACTGATATCAGTTAGAGAACCATTGAAAACCAGGGAGTAATGGACAGCTTCTGTTTCATCCTAGTTTGGGAATCATCGGCAGTACGCACCCACTGGGATTCGAACCCGGGACCTTCCGGTTACATGGCAAGCTCGTATACCATTCAGCCACTGGGACCCGATTCAATGGCTCATGAATTTTAACTTCTACCAATTCGTGATTCTAGCGCGACCCCAACTATTGTCGTTGGTGGAAATCCATCCACACGTGACTTCTAATTGGACCTCACTGGTCACGACTCCTCACTAGAACTGCAGGAAACTCCAACCTGTAGTAAGTCAATAGCGCGCATCAGAATAATTTTCTATAGTTTGGTTTGTAAGGATTAGTTATGTTTTACGAGTTGATCACGGACTGATATCAGTTAGAGAACCATTGATAACCAGAGAGTACTGGACAGCTGCTATATACGAGCTTGTAACCGGAAGGTCCCGGGTTCGAATCCCAGTGGGTGCGTACTGCCGATGATTCCCAAACTAGGATGAAACAGCACCTGTCCAGTACTCCCTGGTTTTCAATGGTTCTCTAACTGATATCAGTCCGTGATCAACTCGTAAAACATAACTATTCCTTACAATCCAAACTATAGATAATTTTCATACTTTTATTTTTACAATATTGAATTCTATCTTATCAGATTTCACACCATGTTATGTGACCTTTTATATTCATCTACTTATCTTATAATTATGTACCCTTTTCCAAAATCTATACATCTTATGTATCATTCTATATACGACATTAATTATTTTGCCACTTGACATTAAATTTTGATTATAATCACAAATATTTTTATTTCATTTCATACTGTTATTATTATTTCATGTATTCACACCTTTGACCTAATTCCCTCACCGGATATAAATTTTTTTTAAAACCATATATATACGATTGTACAACTTGATAATAAATTCGTTGAAAAGAGTGTCTTCGCTGAATATTGTGTTCTGAATGCTACAATGGGAATTATTAAATTATTCTCTTTATTAACCTACTGGGTATAATCGATATTTCTGCGCATATTTCAGTGGTAAACACAGTTGATGAATACGGTTAGGAGTAAGTATGAAGGAAAGACAGTAGTATGGAGTTAAAACACAAGCCTTCAAATAAAGGCCTGTTACAACACAAAGTTTTATCACATAGAGGAGAGATAATACAAATCAACGATTCATATATCAAGGAAAGATGGAATTTATAATTAATAAACAGCAGTTAAAATTCAGTGTGAATGAGTAGCTACTTTATCATTTCTCACAAACGTGTTCGTATCAGTCTTTAAAAAATTATTTCGTGAGTTATGAACATTAAATATCTTGTGTAGAATAATTATAATCGCCCATTAACGATGCATACAAGACACAGTTACAAGGATTAGGGCATGAAAAATTGACCGACATTGTCATAAAAGGTTTTATATTCTCATAGTGAACGATAATTTATATGCGATTAGAGTTCAGTTCAAATTAACAGATTCACCAGTATCATGTCAGTGTTGAACATTCCTCTTGAAATAACCCATTTTGTTTTACATTAGCATACAAGTATATGTTCGTAACAAATATCGTTAAGGTCCTCTGAGTAAATTAACTTCATTTAAACCACAATAATACTACTAATGTCTTTGCTTTTCGTAGTTTGGAAATAATTATGAACAACGTTCATGATGTCTTTATTAGTCTTTTTTTAGTTGAGGGGGGTCTGAAATCACCTTGAGCGCGTCTTGTTGCAACTGTTTCATAATTTGATATGAGAAGCGGGCTTGAGACAGTAGGACACTGTTTGGCCTTTAATTGATGTTGCTGCTGGAGGTTTGACATTATATATCTGCATTTACTCCTCAGTATGCTTAGAAAGCATCCAAAAACTCAAGTTATCTGAATCAGTAAATCTACATAAATTGCACAGTATTTCTGTAAGTACTGAATTCGAAACGTCGATTAAATGCTATTCAGTATTAAGTCAGTGCATTTTATTTAATGCCCACTAGTGCTATATTAATTAGCAATGAATTAAAGTGATGAAGTTTCGAGGACAATTTATTGATATTAATCACATCGTTACCACACCCTTTCTCTAGGGGGAACGCTGTTGAGAAAACAGAAAAAGAAAACATCTATTGAGTCCATAATTTTCCCACTTTCTTTTATCTCATTTATTCAATTCACATATTTCCCATTATCTACCTAGCAGGTTTCCAATTACCTCTCAGGTATGGATCTCAATGGTGACGTAGTCATACAGATGAATGGTTGTATCAGAAACCCTCATTTAAGAAATTAGGACTATCCTTGAAATTTCGGGAAGTTTCAATTCCTTTAGATATTTGAAGGCTTACTATTTTTCTTTATGCACATTTTATCCTACTTCCCCTGATGGATTGCTGCGAACTTGTCATCATTGACATTTGTAAAGCCTAAATTTTTTCGATGAATTAGACATAGTACTTATATGTGAACATACAGTAAAGTGCAGGCCAATATACGTCAGTTTACTATTCATTGGTGAATTATGCATGCAGTAAGATCAAAATATTCCAGAATAGCTGAGATTATTATCATCATAGATTTTCTGTGCTATTTAACTTTGAAGTATCTTAAACTAAAACCCTCGAAATCGACTTCTGGTGTTGACCAATGTGCCATTTAAATTCTTTTATTCTTCCTTCACATTAGAATGAATCATTATCACAAGCTTGAAGTATTCACCTGAACAAAGTACACTAGACGTTTCAAATCTTACATCAAGATTAACTGTCTACAATTCACTATAAAAAGCATTGTATCTCATGACTGAGTTAATTTTAACTACATAGTTGGTGATATGTAAGTTTTCTCAGTATTTTCATAGACCATACTTCCTAAATAATGACGACGCGATTTTGAGTGAACTGAAAACGCTCATGAGATTACCCAAGAACGACTAATTAAACACATAGTCGGGGTTATGTAGACACAGTTCTATTTTATGCACCGTAGAATTTTCTTGAATTTCTTGAATCAGCCAGTTGTGAAACTTTCTTCCATACATTTTCCATACTCTGATCTAAAGTGGCACTAAGATGAACGTATCACCAAGAGTATATTATATTAATCCAAAGGTTTCAATCTTGATCTCGGTCAAATAATAGTCGTTTACTTTACGGTTATCAAATTCTTTGATCTAAATGTAATTGCTTTTGCTTGGCATGGCTAGATAGTTGAGGACAATTGAGATAAAGCCTGGCCACTGGAATTTATTCACTTCAATTTTCGTCATGGTGATGGAACTGCAGATAAGCTCTACGTAGAAGAGAAGTGAAAAATTTCATCTCAGTATGACAGTCGTTATCTTTCTATATAAGTGAATAATTTCCAACTCAAGCAAAAATAAATAACTGTGAACATCATTGTTGTTTACCTATGGCCAAACTTAGTATAAATATAGTGATAGGCAGCTGAAATGAGTACAAGTTATGGAAAACTTCCTCAGAGTGGAAACGTTGGAAGAAGCCATCAATTATGTGTAGCCTGGAAAGATGTCTTGTTCACATAACACCATCAAAATTTAAACTGTCCACTGAATATACCTCCGTGTAAGCATCGTAGTTAATTTGCGAAAGTTTTCAAGTGAACGACACTATAGTAAGGTTGAACTTCAGGACTTTTCCAATGCAAAACTTCGATATTGAGGAAACTATCACATAAACCACAATTTACTCTTCAGCATCGAGTGCAGGAAACGCCTTCAGACAGAATACGCAAATCAAGGAAAGTACTTTCAACATGGATATAATGATGGATAGGATTTCCACGGTAATGAATTTGAAGCCGAAAGAAGACACATTCAATGAATACATCACATGGGTAAGTACACTCTGGTTATTTATCTACACAAAATCTACAAATAGGTGGGAATTGATGTGAAATATTTGATAGTCGTCATGTTGGCAGTCATGATTATTATAGGGAGCATGTACGATTGAAATTAATCATCCAATCTTATTCTCACATAGAACGGGTCTTCAAAAATTTTTCTATAAAAATATCGCCGCCACATTAAGAATTGTGTAAGTCAATTGTCTCAGTTTGTCATTGTCTCTTCTTATGGATATCGAGGCTGGTGATTCTTCTTCTGTTTCATAAATTCAGATGCTTTTACATTGAAAGTGTATGAATCATATCCACAACATGTTTTCATTAAGCTTATTTGCTGCCGCTTTGTTTGTCTTCACCGTTGCTGTCAAGAAGATTCAGGAAAACTTTTGGTATTAACATATTGATTATGGACTAATCGTAAGTAATTTGTTTGGTTGTAGAATGCAGACTCCATTTATACTTGAGATTATTGTGTTTTACACTTTGTATGTTTAAAGTTTGACGTAGGAAAGATGCGCTTAAACATGTTTATGTATGAGGTGACTATACGGTTTAAAAATGTATCATAGATGTACAATATCAAAGTACTTTCTTTGAAATTTGTGCGAGGTTGCTCACATAGACTCAGGTACAGAATAGCTCTTGTTACATATATGGTTTGTAGTTATGACAATGATATAATACAATATGTAATTGAGAATGAAGTGATTAGGCAGAACAATGTGATCAGTAGCCATCTTCATATGATGACATTATTTAGACGTTGCTTTCACATCATCGAAGTGGTTATCAAGAAACAGATGCCTCAACTAACTGTCTCCTATCTTTAAAAAGTTGAGATGTGTATGTGAAACATGTAGCTTTATCTG